GTCTTTGTTTCTGATACTGTTTGTGCAGTTTACCAGTTAATTTTCCCTTTTCCAATAGATTTTTGCAGGCATTTTTAATGGTATAAAACATTCATTTGTAGTCCTGATTGTTTTTGTAACATCAGACCTTTTAAACAACCCTACTTTATTATTTATGTAGAAATATAGATATGTATAGTGCTCTTCTGGATAAAGAGTTGCTCCTAAAACGTGGCAATAATCTTCAGCCACTGGGCATCAATACAGCAAATTCTGGACTTCAGTTAATTATATTTTCAATCCCCACTTCTGTTTGCTGAAGCAGTATTAGCTAAAGGAGAGGTGGACCTGCTGTAATGCTGAAGGATACTGTAGAGAAAGCAAGGGTCAATTTTCTTTTAGAGAGTGGAAGATGATAGCTTTTGACAGGTACCGTCAATTTCAGCTTTTTGCAATAAAATGGGAAGTGTGTGCAGCATTTTACATCTCCTAAATAGATTACCCAACAAATCCACACACACGCACTTGTCAAAGCTAATGGCATTCTTTCTGCTGAACCTGACAAATTCCAGTCCTCAATCTAAACAAGAATAAATCTAAACCAAATGTTGACATTTTACCCTCCTCCTGGGGCTCCTCTCCAGGGAGCAGAGAAATTTCTCTTCTCCAGCACCCACAGCTGTAACAATTAGTGCTATCAACCCTGCAGAAAGCAATCAGACTAATTGTACAGCAAGGTAAAGTACTCAGTCAGGAAAACATGGGTAAAATGCACCTCTAAAAATTCAATTCTTATTTTGCCACCACGGTATAACAACTCTATAAGCATTTCTAATTATAGATACTCCTCTAGGGATATTTGCCATCATTTGCCATTGCTCTAAAATATAGGGATATGTTCCCAATGATCAATTACTGAATATGCTCTGTAGTACATTCAGCTATGGGTCTTACCTACTTAGACAAAATATCCAGGGGAAAAAGCTTTGTATGTGAACCCTTAAGCATTATATTCAGCTGTTGGACTAAGTGTTTTAGTGCTGATGACAAAGGAAAAAAGCATTTCTCCAGCAACCAAGGCCTTCTGATATGAAATGATACCATTTCCTGGCTTCTGAGAAAAATAGGGAGTGGGCTGTAAAAAAGCTTGCCTGTCCTGGCTGTCCTTTCAAAGGCCTCCTTCAGTTTGATGTTTTTCTTCAGGCTTTAGGCTTCTCATATCTTTGGGTTAAATAAAAATCTTAGCTTTTAATGGAACGTGTCAGTAGTTGTGGAAAAAAAATAACACTTAAAAATGCAAAACCTTAAAATGCCATAAACCAACCAGTGAAATAATGAAGAATGAACAGTTGTCTTCAAGGAAAAAAAGATCGGGAACATTACAGTGGTTTAATTTCATGGGGGGTTTAATACTTACTATTTCTTTCATAGAAGAGAGTTTTATCCTATCTAACAATTCCCAAACAAATGATGACATGGCTGACCCAGATCCTTTATAGTGAGAAAATGTCTCTGATACCTCTCATTTTTGGTATAGTTCATTGTGCTGCAGAGTTGGAAATAAAGGTTTAATACAAAATGTTCCTCCACAGAAGTTATTTTGATTTATTATTGCAACTTCATGAGAAACACAGGTGAGGGAGGGAATATGACGATTCTTAATATTTCACATGTCCACTGAGGAATTTTCTCAGAGCAAAAGAAAGATCATTTCCTGTCTTTCTTTCTCCCACAAAATAAAAGAAAAAAATAGTTGTTAATAGCTGAAGGCAATAGAGCTTTACAGACAAAAAGGCTTTATTTCAACAAATGAATTTTCTTTCTCCTTTTCCTGTTTTCTCCCCTCTCCTACTGGTGGGGAGGGAGGAGTCCTCACACCAGCTGTGTGAGTGCTCACTTGATAGCAAGGGCCAGTGCATCGCAGCCTCAGATCCAGTTAGGGATCTGAAACAACAAAATATAAATACAGCCCCTCAGGTAGAATTGGCAGCCAGTATTTTGTGGGTCTAGAAAAATATAAGTACCGAATTAAAATCCTTATGGAAGATTTGGGAAGGGCTGAAATTTGGTGGTGTTTGCATGTTTCAGGAGACTGAATACATTGGCACTCTGACGTTTCAGTGTTTATTTAACATCTATGACACTAAGTAAAACAGGGCTGGAGACTGATCCTTTTTCCTAAATACATCTAGTACAGTCTCATATATATGCTGCCCAAGACTAGCCTCCACTAAGCTAGAAGTAGCTAAGTGGCTGGGTTGATCCTAGTGAAGGCAATATGCACGTCCTTACCAAACTCCGAGTGTCCTGACAGCCTTAGGTGGTATTGCCATGATGCTAGAGCTTGGTTATTATTTTGGGGATATTTCAGCTCAATGCATCTTAAGCAAGGTAAGAGCTGAGCTGCAGCCTGTGAGATGTGGTTGAGTAGCACGAAACTGAAGGGCTGATGAATGATACACTGGAGTATTACACAAAGGCTGTGGGTTGAGTTTAAGATTGCTGGGATAGTGAAGAAGAGATGTTTAGGGTAGACAAAGTAAATCTGGTACACTTGTTAATACTGACTGTCTGAGAGTCATGTCTTGCATGAACCATCCTTAGAGCCAAACCTGGATGCTGTCCTGGACAGAGTTAGTTTGGATTGTTCACAACAGAGCTATGAAATAAATGGGGATGGAAGGAACAGAAGTGATCAAGCTTCTAGTGCTTGGGTTCATATCGCATCCCATTTTTTTGAGCAATTTAGTTATAAATATTTAGATTCTACAGTTACTGTTTTCAGCCAAAAGTTCCTAAATTTCAACAGGAAAATGACACTAGATCTGAATTTTATATAACAATATAGGATTATAGGATTGAAGACACAGCAGCAGTGGCCACATTAATTATAATCAATTTTCGTAATTAAATATGGGTTATTAAGACATCAATCTGCGTGGATAAGAACACTCCAGATGTCAAAGCTGGATTTTTACCAGATAGGGTGTCTGTAGGCACAGCTGTTATCCCACAAATCTTTGCAGTCATCAGACATGACTTTGCTATAATTTCTGTGCTACTTCTAGTGCTTCTGCATCTCCTGTATTGACCCTGCAGTTCTACAGAAGGAAATAAGCTTCATGCTTGCTTTCATTTGCCAGCACCTGGTACATTAAATATATATATATATATATTTGTGAAGGGCAGTGATGCAAGGGACTGTGCACCAGTCCATCCCTTTAAAGCACACTGCCCTTGCAGTCTCCAAAGTCTGCAGAATGATTTGTGTACAAATGAAGATCGTCTCTGCTGCAGAGCATGTTAGGAGGGACGGGGGAGGGAGAGACTATTGGTGCTGCCTTCTTGGGGCAGCCCTAGGAGACGCAACCTTGTGGATATGGAAGCTTTGGGAGCTGAGCTGCTGGTGGCAGGGTCCCAAGAAGCGTTATAACCATCAGGCAGCCTGTGGCTTTCCATATGGCATTTTACTTTACTCCTTCCCCTGCATGTGTGGAGAGTGCTGTTAAGACCTAGGTGGTCTGGGAAATCAGGACACCTGGCCAGTGGTGTGTTTTTAGTGCAGCTTGATCAACTGAGGACAAAGAGGGATGAGATCTGTATGTGCAGAGCTGGATCTCCTTAGTTCTACTGAGTTAACCTGGAGTAGCACTGCTAGCTCTTTTACATTTGGCTTAGAAGTTACCAAACATCTTTTATTTACTTATGATATTAAGAAGGTTGCTGGTTATCCCCAGCCCTGCAGATCCCGTGGATACACTACCACTGGTTAGATGTGATCACTCAAAGGATCTCTATTTTTAATAAGTGGATCATGTATTTGTCCTCTATTCAGGTAGAATTAGGAAAGTCAAAGTAAAGAAGTTTTCTGATTGAGCAGAATTGAAAGGCTGAATTAGAATTTTTTGGACCATTGCATTGAGATTTATCTGAAGGTTAGTTTTTAGTTTATTTTACATCTTTCTTTGTACACTCATGCCAAATAGAATCCAGAAAAATCCCTTGTGAGAGACTGGACTATGACTCAAAACAATTGCCCATTTGTGAAGGCACCAGGGTGCTTTGCTGAGACCACATTTGTAATCCCCCAGGAAAGAGATGAGTTTTTGGGTGTGTAGTGGCAAACCTCTGGTCTGCATAAGACAGAGGGGGTGAACATATAACTGTCAGAGTCTGCAAGCTGGGCTTTGAGGCCAATGGAAAACAGAGCTTGTGGAGACAGGATGGTGCTTTTCACCACGGCAAATTGCCCACTCTTACACACACCCCCTCATCAATGGATCAAGACCTTCAATCATCACTTCGACCAACAGCAACACTCAAGCCTCATTGTAAATCCAGGGGTGGTTGTTATGTATCTTCCTACTCTTAGGCTTCCTTTCTCTTTCTTCCTTTTTTAACTCTTGCACATTTTAAGTGATATCTTTATTCTTTCATATTGTCATATTACTGTAGATAATAGTAACCAAAAATGGCTATATAGCTGCATTCCATTGCAACCAAATTGTTCATATATATATACATGTATACATATATATATACATGTATACATATATACATATATATATATATATATTTACAAACACTGATCATTCAGTGTGTTTTTTTACTCAAACCTGCCCCAAGAGATCTATTAGCAAAAACCTGGGTTACCTTCACCTTCAGGGATGGGTAATAATAATAATAATAATAATAATAATAATAATAACTCCTGGGTCACCCCCAGGAGTTATTCCCTCTGTCACAGGGAAGGGCTGGGTTAAAAAAAAAACTCAGAAATATATCAGAAATGTATGTCAGAAATATATCAGAAAAATGTCAGACCTCCCCTTGCTTCTGTTGGCACCTGGTTTATTAGTACAGATCAGCTTTGCTGTCACCTTCTGACTCCCTTTCTGCCTGGGTGCTGTGATTGAGATGATGAAACTTCAGCTTCAGCTGGAGGATCCTCAGAAAGCAGTACATGTATTGGCATGCCTGCCAGTCAAAAGTTCAGGAAGGGGAGGTGCTTACCAGGAATTGAAACTGATTTGTGGTAACTCCAAATGTCTCCCGAGCTGTAGCAGCAATACGGTTTCTATCAAGGGAAGGTACTTGTAAAACCACGTCTGGGGTTGGGGGATGGAAGGAAGGCAGCAGGTACAGGACAGCTACTGCCTCTTATACTCCATCTTCCTCTCAGGGTAACCCCTGGCACGGCAACAGTGAAATGGAGAAAGGTGAAAATGCCCAGAAGCTGACAGCATCTGAAGAGAAACGAAGAGGCCAAGCATCAGCCCACCCACAGCAGCAACATCGGTAGTAAGTAACAAGGACTAAGATGGTTCACCTGTACTGGGTGTCTGCTCTCCAGCTTACTCAAAGTGTACACCTTTAAGAGTGTAAATACTTTATAGAGAACATAAATGTGGCTGAGCACGCAAGCAGCATGTCGTCATCTTCTTGAAGCCTCCTACATGAGACCTGAATTGTTCTGGCAGGCTTCTTGAAGGCATGGCTTACACCCTGTGCTGTGTGGCCAGCTCTGTACCTTGGATACTGGAATATGTGGTGTCTGCTTCTTGGCATCTTTTTTCAAAGTGAAATTTCAAATCTGGTTCTAGCTCCTTGATTTCTGTTTCTCCTAATATTTCATCTTGGAAAGTCTAAAAATACTTACTTTAGCTTAAGAGATGGATATAGGCTGCATTCCAGCACTGCTCGGAATGCAGTCAAGGACACAGAACAGCTTCCAGAAACTTCATGCTGACAAAACTAAAACCAAAGATTCAGCTCTTGATTTTATTTTATGCTTTATTGGAATCTATGCTTAGTCCATCTCTGGATTTCCAGTGGCAATCCTGCGATAGCTTGCATAAACTGTGTCTTGCAGATATAATACAGAATAGAAACAGAAAGCTCAGTGTGTGTGTGTTTGTGTATTTTATGCACATGTGTTTAATCTAAATATGCTTAGATGACCATAGCTAAGTGTTTAGTCTTTTTCCCCAAATGTGCTTTTTCTGAGTTCTCAGTAACAGTGCATATAATGCTAAGATTGTCATTATTGTTACGTGCTGACTTTGCTTAGCTTGCTTATTTTTTTTCCGGTTTTCAAAGCGCAGCTGGCAAAACTGCAAACTGTTTCAGTTTCCTTTCCCTTCTTTCTGGGTGAAGAAGGTGGAGCCACCTGTGAAGGAGGTGGCAGGCAGCTTATGGTGAGCAGAGATCAGCAGCTTTCCATTGAAATCCATGAATGCTTGCCTGTTAGGTAGTAATGACACAGGGACTATTAAGAGCTGAGCCCCTTTAAAATCCATCAGTGCTTTAATGTCTGACTTTCAGGAGAGCAAACAGCAATTCCTTAGTTACAGTCTGTTTATTTTCTGCCACTTCTAAATGTGAAAAATGCTGTCTTGCCTACTCTCACAGTGCCAGGTATCCACAGTAGAGCAAGGACAGCCCCAGTTTGTTTATGTAGTTGTGATGTATGCATTTTGTTGCTGTTTAGGTTTTCTTCAGGGGGAGGAGGGGGCAGCAGGGCTAGTGGGAGTTTTTCAATTGGCATGACTGCCTTTACCCAGTTTTTGTCTGGCATACAAACCCCCTGGTATAGGTTAGGTGAATAATTAATCAATTGGTTTGCCAGAGCTCCCTGCAGAATTTAAGGCCAGGGCACGTATAATTACTGTTCCCTCTTTCATCTTGCACGATTCTTGCAGACATAAAGCTGGTGTGCATCCACTGCAAAGGCTAAGTAGTATTTTTTGCATGTGAAAAGATTCTCTCTGTGAGTTCATAAAGTTCTAACAAAGAATTAGTTCCTAAATCTTAGATGTACAAATTAAAATCTGCATTAGTATTCAGTTAGTGAGAAGAGGGATAGGGGAAAGGCAGGTTGAAACAGAAACCATGTAGTATGTACTCAAAAAATGTAGTGAAAGAGAGTGGGGTTTGCATCTGTCCCTTGAGAAGGGGGATGCTACCAGGCATTTGAATGGGATGAAGCCACTTAAACTGCAATTTCCTTAACTAACACAGATCAAAGGAGAAGACAGCATCTGAAATACTGAAACAGAAGAGCGGAGATCTTTATTCTTAAGAAAAAAAAAATTGTTTCATTCATTTTTACTTTGTTTATTTGCTCAAGTTACATTTCAAGAAAGATTTCAGATTAAAATATCATTTTGGCAGTGATAAAGCTGACTCACCTTTTTAGCCACCAACCCATTTTAATATGACCTTTAAAACTAAAATACTGGGACACCTTCAAAGTGGTCCATGTTTTCAGGCTCTGGGATAACAAGAGCAGTTGGAGAGCTCAAGTCATGGGGTGACATAGGAGAAAAAAAAAGCTCAGACTAGCGTTACTAAAGGATTTCTGGAATATGCATAGCAGAGGGAACATGAGGGGTCCAAATAGGATGCCTCTGTGCCAAGTAGTGTCTCTATTCCAGCTTCTGCTTGCTATTTTTTGGAAACAGACAGGCATATGGTTTTGCTGCCAGCAAAGCAGGAGTTGGAGTCTCTTTTAAAGGCTCTGTGTAAATTGTTTCCATGCAAACTCTCTGTCTCAGGCTGTGAGAGAAATTGGCAGTGGGAAAACATCTCAGGAGCATCTTAGGGGTGGATCAGGGGACCTTTTGTTTAGATTGGATACAAGAAATATGTGTGGGATGTAGCCTGTTGCAGTCCTGTTCAGTGCTCAATATTCAAACTGGATTATTAAAAATGCAAGGTGGAAAGCTGATATTACAGGGTAGTTTTGCTTTGGAAAAACCCTTCTATGATATATCGAGGATGAGACGTGACAATAAAATGGTCCATATTAAGAAAAATGTTTGTTCAAATGCAAAATTGAAGTCACATTTTGCAGATCCCCATCCAGTTACACATAGAATGTGGTTTCAGGCCATGCATGGACAAAAAAGTCACCAGGATGACAAGAACTTGAAACTGCATATAATAAGCTTGCATTTAAATGGCTTCACTTTGTCTGCTAAGTGCCATGAAATTAACTTGAGGAAAGCAAATTCCCAAATTGCCCCCGTTCATACCTATTCAGAAACAAAAGTCTGTACAGAAGAAAGGTGGAGGAAAGTGGGGAAATTAGAGGGTGAACTATAGCTAGTGCCTGAAAAAGAAACTGCTGCCCCCATTCAGCAATCTGCCTTTAGCGCCTTTAAAGCTGCCAGGAATAATACTGGTTCTGGTAAAATCCATTAAAAACTGAAATTCAAAATAATAAAGCCTGAAGATATATTGCTGCACAGCTGGTAACAGTCCCTCATCATTTTGTTTGAAAGGAGAGTGAACTTGGTAGAGTGCTTGACTCGAGAAATTGTATTCTTTGATTGCTGGAGCCAAATCTATGAGAGCTTTCTTTCCTTCCTTTTCCAATCTTAACACTGAATTTAAAACAAAACAAAACAAAAAACCCCCAAAATATCTATGTTGTTATAAGACCCCTCATCCTTTTGCTGACAGACTATACTTAGCAGTTCTGATTTTCTTTTTTCTTTAATGAAGTTTCTTTAAAATAAAAAAAAAAGTCTACAGCACTGTAGGTACATTTTTAGCAAAATGATTGTTTTGCCCACTGCCCAGGCACTGGTGGGAGTGCAAGACAGGTAATTTGAATTATAGAAAATCTGTTCAGAGTTTAGCTTTCCACTTGCTGCACAGGAGAAATCTCCCAACTCTGTCTTTCAGGCTGATGTACTATTGTTTACAACCCAGTAGAGCAATTCAGAGATGCCTGGCTTTCCTGTGGTCAGTAGCCAGCCTTTCCCCAGGCACAGGATTGGTGGCAGGGTCTATGTAAGACAATAACTATTCTGTTAGTCTGGACTGTGGGGGTTGCTGTTCTGTATAGTGCCTGGGGGAGGGAAGTCCTTCCAAATTCTGTATTAGAAGATTTTTTTGGAAGAGATTGTTTTGCACAAGCCCTGATATGTTCTTTTGATACATAGCTTGATGAGGAGCAGTGGTGAGATGATGAATAAGGAATGTATTGGAGGATGCTGCGTTTGGGCAGGGGCGATGTAAGGACAAATTCTCTGATGCTGAGACAGCAGAGGAGGAAATACATTGTTGAAAAGAAAAGGGAGGAAGCAGAGATGAACATGCCACTAGCTCAAATCTCAGTGTTCGCGTGACATGGCATCTGACCTGTGGAGCTCTCCAGGCATGCTGGCAAGCCTGACATGCAACACTTGCACACCTCTGCAGGGGATAGCTCAGCTCAGCCCTTGGTGTTGCCAAGCCCAGCGCCTGGCCTGCCCACATATGATGAGCCATGCTTCTCACAGCTAGGGATTACCCGGGGCTCCAGCTGGCTCTGGCATGCTCCCTACATCCCTGACATGGTGCTGGACTGAGGGAACAGAGGGTGCTGGACTGCCCTAGGACAGCATGAGCCTGGCCATGTCTGGCTTTTCTAGACTTTGCTGGGTCTGATGCTGATCTACAACACTGCCACAGTGAAATCTGCCCCTTTGGTCTAATCTGACCACAAGCACAGGCTGACTAATAGCACATTACTGTTTTCAGAGGAGGGAAAGCTGTGCTGTGGGCCAAGTGTGGGCTGACAGCATTTGATCCCTCAGGGTGGCAATTTCCTTGGATCATTAGAAGCTGGTTGAGATTGTCCAAAACAGAGTACTGGCTGAAGCACCTGCCCTTCTTTCTGATGTGCCAAGACCACAACAAGCTGCTGAGTCTGAGCCTCATCTAAACTGTTAGAAATTCAGTTCCAAGTTTAAGTTTTAGTCTTTGGACCAAATTTTAACTTCAGGAATTTCTCTACAAGAGTGTGGGTAACAGCAGAACCTCAGGTCTGTTTCTTTCCTGCAGATTTCTGACTCTTGCTTTCTCCTGGGCTGCTCTCTGCTGCTCTTTCCCTTCTCACTCTTCCCCCTTGCAAATTCACTTCTTCAGGATTTAAGTATTTTCTTTAACCAAAAGCCTCACAAGGCCAAAAATATTGTCTGTTCTTAATGAAAGGGACCAGACACAGAAGTGAGTTATCCTGGTTTAATAATCTTCCAGGCATAATTTGAACTGTGGTAATTAAGTTCATTCTTGGCCTGTGGAAAACACAGGATAAAATCCATGGAGGTAGATTTTTGGTGATAAACATTTTCTGCTAATGTATTTCATTTTCTGCCTCTTGTGTTAAGAGCACACACACAGTGAGGATGAATCAGACAGTGTGTAATGCTATGCCCCAGTAAATCACTTTTGCCTCTGAGCTGCAAACTGGTAAGATGCTGCCACTGATAAAGATGGAAAGCCAGAGCTCCAAGCCTGCATGCAAGGTT